GCTACTTGGGAGGCTGAGGCAAGAGGATCGCTTAAGCCCAAGAGTTTGAGGTTGCTGTGAGCTGTGATGCTACAGCACTCTACCCAGGGCAACAGCTTGAGACTCTGTCCCCCAAAAAAATTTCCAGAAGAGAAGGAATATAAATTAAACACACACTCTGGGGAAGCTACCACTCAATACTTAAAACAACTGTCCTGAGAGGAAGATGCCATTCTTTTCTTTTAATGCGTAAGGAAGGGCAGTAATGCTCCCTTCAATGCGTAAGGAAGGGCAGCAGTGCTCCCTTCAATGCGTAAGGAAGGGCAGCAGTGCTCCCTTCAATGCGTAAGGAAGGGCAGCACTGCTCCCTTCAATGCGTAAGGAAGGGCAGCAGTGCTCCTCAGTTAATCAACACAACTACAAACTTGAAACTGAATTCAAGTTTATCTGATCTCAAGTTTGTTCTACGATGTTCCAAGATTTTCTGGGAAATGTCTAAATCTAGTAGGAAAGAATTTCAGTATCTTTGTGAATAAAATCAAGGTCTATTAAAACGAACAGGTCTACCAAGGTGTCCCTTGAGAACTGTCAGGTTAGCTCCACACTCCATCTAATAGTGAATGTCTACTGAAATAAACATTAATATAATCATTAAATATAGTATGATGTTAGTTTCACTTGTAGACATTTTAAAATTTTGAAGACACTATATAGGTACAGGCTAGCAATGAGAAATAAATCACTGAGGCCTGAACAACATGGCAAGACTCAGTCTCTGCCCAAAAATTTAAAAAAGAAAAAGTTTAAATTGCCAAATATGGTCATCTGTCATGTCAGTTTCTAGGAAGCTGAGCTAGGAGGCTCTCTTGAGATGAGGCCTTTAAGGACCACAGCAAGACAAAACCTTGTCTCAAAGATAGAAAAAAGAAAGAAACCAATAAATCACTGCCTTCAAGCTATTCGGTTATTATAAAATGTTGACAAGGCATATGGAAAGTCTGCTCAGTTTTTATTCCTTTGTTTGGGCTTCTATTCAATTAATTTCCTTAACTATTTGAAAATTATATACCATCATCATCACCATCATCATAGCTACCCAGGAATTGGGCACTTACCATGTGACAGGTCTATAATGCAAATCATTTCACTTATTCTTTACAGCCACCATATGACAGGGCTCGAATCCAGGGTTATCTGCCAATACTCTTACCTCTGATTATTTTAGAAAACATGAAAAAATGTTTTAAACTGGTTACTTTTTTTTTTTTTTTTTTTTTTGAGACAGAGCCTCAAGCTGTCCCCCCTGGGTAGAGTGCTGTGGCATTACAGCTCACAGCAACCTCCAACTCCTGGGCTCAAGCGAGTCTCCTGCCTCCGCCTCCCAAGTAGCTGGGACCACAGGCGCCCGCCACAACGCCTGGCTATTTTTCGGTTGCAGCCGTCATTGTTGTTTGGCGGGTCCAGGCTGGGGATTCGAACCCGCCACCTTAGGTGTACGTGGCTGGCGCCTTAGTCGGTTGAGCTATAGGCGCGGAGCCCTGGTTACTTATTTTTAAGTGGGAAAAAACCTTTAGAAATAGAGAAAAGGGTGGACCTATCATGAATCCCAACTAATCTTCCTTGAGGTGGGCCCAGAGAATTCAATTCTAGGACTCCTGGATTCAGCACAGACTTATGAAAATGGCTCCATAGTGGGAACAGAAAAGTTAATAGGACATACCTCCTGGTTGCAAAAAACTGAAATCCAGGAGCCACTTTGAGACGATCACCTTGGCCAGGAATCAAGAGCTCTCCATTCTCCAAAAGAGGGATCAGCACGGAGACCTAAATAACAAAATCCCGCTGATGAAGTAAATCTCTCCAGATGGGAAGTAATAGAGACAAAGAAACTGTCTTCCAAATGATGACACACAGTGGAAGAAACACCATTTCTCCTGGTGCAAACAGGGGTCAGCATGCAAACGGTGATGTCTATGCCACCTGCATTCCAGCACAGTGGTCCCTCACTGAGCTATACCCCAGCATAGCCACTTACTCCCTCAGGATTCCTTGGGTGCCTCCTGTGTGGCTTAACCAAGCAAGACTCAAAGAAGAAAGCCTGGAGCATGAAGGGAGATGGCAGGGATACAGACCACCACAACCACATGGCATGGTCAGCATGGCCCAAGGGGCATGCACAGCGAGCAGTATGTGAAGACAGTGTGGCTCTGGGTTAGAACACGGTGACCGAGAAGCAAGGCAGGGATCCTTCCCTGATGTAATGACATTCACTGCAGCTTAAAGGATAAGCAGAAATTAGCCAGGCTCGCTGGGAGAAAAATGGCACATGTACTCGAGACAAAAGTATTCAAGAGCATGAAAAAGCTGATATGCCTAAGAGTCGGACCTGAGAGGATTCTGTCATGGTGGAGCAGAACACACGTGTTAAGCAAAGAAAGAGGGAAAGCCTAGAGATAAAGGATAAACGGCTTCCCACTGAGACAGGGAAGCTTTTCTCTGAGAGTTACGGAGAAGATTTTAGGCTGAGAAAAAGAAACAATTATACTTTTTAATTTAGAAAATCAACTGTGCAGCAAGATGGAAGATAAACTGAATGGAAGACGCTCCTACAGAAAAGGAGGCCAGAAGGGACACTGCTCAGGCAACAAAAGCAGGATCAACCAGTGGGAAGAGAAAGTGAGACACCTGTGCTAAGGCCGTAGGATGAGAAAAAACAGAAGGGAAAAGGTAGGAGGTGGCATGCAGACCAGCGGAGCCAGGGAACTGAGGAGGAGGCTGGCAGCGAGGTTCTCGCTCAGTAACTACAAGGAAAAAGACCATTCTGAGAATAAGAAGACAACTACCAATTTGGATATCTTGAACTTTCACTGGCTATGTGACATCCTAGCAGAAACTATTTTAGGAGTGTAGACTAGACACATGAATCCAGGAGTTGAGGTAACGGAGGAAGAATGAAAAGACAAGACCAGAAGAGCAGAGCAGAGAGCCCAGGAGTGGGCTCTGAAGAATCACTCAGGGCTCTCTGAGGCACCGTTGTTTCCATTAGCTAGGAGCTGAAAGGGAAGCCCAAAATAAAAGAAGAAACTCCAAGATACTCCAAAATCGAAAACAAGGAAACATCCTGAATGAGATCTGTAAAACCTACCTTAAAATGGTAATGGGAGGCTGGAGATGGTGGCTCACACCTGTAATCCCAGCACTCTGCATGGCCGAGGCGGGTGGATTGCCTCAACTCACAAGTTTGAGACCACCCTAAGATCAAGACCCCTTCTCTAAAAAATAGCCAGGCATTTTTGGCAGGCACCTGTAGCCCCACTACTTAGGAGGCTGAGGCAAGGAAATTGCTTAAGCCCAAGAATTTGAGGTTGCCGTGAGCTATATGCTGCCACAGCACTCTACTGAGGGTGATGGACCGAGACTCTGTCTCTACAAAAAAAATAAATAAATAAATAAAATAGGGTGGCGCCTGTGGCTCAGTGGGTGGGGCGCTGGCCCCATATACCAAGGGTGGCGGGTTCAAACCCAGCCCCAGCCAAACTGCAACAAAAAAATAGCCGGGCATTGTGGCGGGCACCTGTAGTCCCAGCTACTTGGGAGACTGAGGCAAGAGAATCACCTAAGCCCAGGAGTTGGAGGTTGTTGTGGGCTGTGTGACGTGACGGCACTCTACCCAGGGTGATGGAACAAGACTGTCTCTACAAAAAATAAATAAAACTGGGTGGCACCTGTGGCTCAGTGGGTGGGGCGCTGGCCCCATATACCAAGGGTGGCGGGTTCAAACCCAGCCCCAGCCAAACTGTAACAAAAAAATAGCCGGGTGTTATGGCAGGTGCCTGTAGTCCCAGCTACTTGGGAAGCTGAGGCAAGAGAACCGCCTAAGCCCAGGGGCTGGAGGCTGCTGTGAGCTGTGTGATGCCAAAGCACTCTACCCAGGGTGATAAAGTGAGACTCTATCTCTACCAAAAAAAAAAAAATTAATTAATTTAAAAAATAAAAATAAAAATAAAATGGTAATGGGTCACCATTACCATTTAGCTGAGAACTTCTAAAACAACAAAATAACAATCAAGAGGACCTGCATACGTTCTTAACTAAATGTCACTTTGCTGTAACAATACTTAAGTTTAAGTACCATACCCTCTGAAAAGGAGAAAAGGAACAATCTGCACAAAATGGAAGGGCAAAGTACAAAAATTTATCAGGCATGGCCAAAGAGAGCCCAATACAGAAACTGTCAATCTGTGGCTTACGCCTGTAATCCTAGCACTTGGGAGGTCGAGGCCAGTGGATTGCCTGAGCATGCGGGTTCAAGACCAGCCTGAGCCAGAGCGAGACCTCATCTCTAAAAAAATAGCTGCCTGCTGTGGTGGGAACCTGTAGTCCCAGCTACTTGGGAGGCTGAGACAAGAGGGCTCAAGCAACTGAGTTTGAGGTTGCTGTGGGCTGTGATGCCATAACACTCTATGGAGGGTGACTTAGTGAGACTGTCTCAAAAAAAAAAAACCAAGGTGCCTGTGGCTCAAAGGAGTAGGGCATTGGCCCCATATACCAGAGGTAGTGGGTTCAAACCCAGCTCTAGCCAAAAAAAAAAAAAAAAAAAGAAGGCACTGTTTGGGATGGGACTGTGCAGGTAATTTCAAACCAATGGATAGAAAGATATTTAATAAAATAAAGAGGTCATTTTAAAAAGAAAAAAAAGGGGCAGCGCCTATAGCTCAAAGGAGTAGGTTGCCAGCCCCATATGCCAGAGGTGATGGGTTCAAACCCAGCCCCGGCCAAAAACTACAAAAAGAAAAAAAAATAAAAAAAGAGGGTGGTGCCTGTGCCTCAAGAAGTAGGGCGCCGGCCAGGCCCCATATACTGGAGGTGGTGGGTTCAAACCTGGACCCGGCCAAAAACCACAAAAAAAAAAAAAATTTGACAATCTGGTCTTTACTCAGGACATGGTCACGGTAGAAATGTACCCAAAATGTATTATGGTCCAGAGGGCAGGGACAAATGCCTAGGCTCCACCAGGGACTGGATGGGACACCCCTGACATTTATTTATGTGCCTTTTCTGCCTCTACATCCACAACCCGTAAGGCAGATCACTGATATCTGAAAAAACAGCACTGCACTAATAACTGGAATAAGCGTATTTTGTTGTTGTTGTTGCAGTTTCTTTTGGCCAGGGCCAGGTTTGAACTTGCCACCTCTGGTATATGGGGCCAGTGCCCTCCTCCTTGAGCCACAGGCGCCACCCAGAATAAATGCATTTTTAAACTGGCCTTTTGGTTCACATTCCAATTTTATTTTTTAGTCCCATGGATAAAAGTCAGCCCTGGGCTCAGGACTTATCAAGAAAACTGAGTTTCCAGCCCTATAATAAACCAAACATTAAGACCCTAGAACAGGCAGCACCTGTGGCTCAGTGAGTAGAGTACCGGCCCTATATACCCAGGGTAGCGGGTTCAAACCCAGCCCCGGCCAAACTGCAACAAAAACATAGCCGGGCGTTGTGGCGGGCACCTGTAGTCCCAGCTACTCAGGAGGCTGAGGCAAGAAAATTGTTTAAGCCCAAGAGGTACAGGATGCTGTGAGCTGTGATGCCACAGCACTCTACCGATGGCGACAAAGTGAGACTCTTATCTCTTAAAAAATAAATAAATAAATAAAATTTAAAACAAAAAAAAAAA